TCTAGAACCACTTAAATTTTTGGCTCTATTTCTTAGGGAATATTCTCAATTCATGTTCCAAGTTTTCAATTGAGGGTTGCATTTCTGCTATATTTTAAATTCTTTGAGCTCTTTTATCGATAAAAATATTCCTTTTTTATAGTAATCTGTTCTTGTTTCATGATTGTAATATCTTATCCCTTAGAGGTTTATTTCTAATTAACATACTATATTTTTTCCACCAGATTGCTTTTTAATGTTCATTTGGTTTTTTTTTCTATGTTTTACATTATAATGCTTGGTTGTCTCATCATATTTAAAAGTGGAGGGATGAAATGCTAATGTAAAGCTCTGGAAACAGGGGGAACTGAAGCACTTGGCTTTCTCTTTTGTAAGATGACTTAACTAGGCTGTGAGTTGGGAAAACATTAATGACAGTATTTCAAGTTGTCCCTTTCAGACTGATCAAACTATCCAAAGACTCTACTGGTCTCTCCTTGGAAGATGGAGCCTGGTTACCAGCTTTCTGGGACCTAAATAAATAAACAGGTAGGCTCTAAACTTCTTACAGGTAGACATTCTCTTGACACCTCTGGTTTTGGGATATTTTCCCCTCCCTCAACCATGACTATTGTCCCTCAGTCCATAGACACTCCCTTTTGTCTTCTCCAGAGAGGGGTAGGGAAGGATGTCAGTGCTTAGAATGCAAAGTGCTTAGGAGGAGATTTTCAGTCTTCCTTATTTTAGCTGCCCTCGCCTCACCTACACTGATTCCATCTGCCCTGGGTGATGGGTCAGCCTTGATTTTCTCCCTGTTCTGTCAGGATTAGGTCATCTCAAATCTGCTCTGTTCTTTTCTTCATCTATTAATTTTGCTGCGAATGACTCCTTTTACATTTTACTGCCCTTAGAGACACATGCCTTTTAAAAACAATGGTTTTACTATTATTTGATAGGAGGAATGGAGATAGGTAATTTCCATCTATCATCTTTATCCAGAAGTCTCTCTTAGTTTTTAAAATAAACGTTACTGGGGTGTGATGCATGTACATTAAGCTGCATCCATTTAAAATGTGCAATTCGATTAGTTGTGATGAAAGTCTACACCTATAAAACCTCCACCACAATTGAGATACAAAATATTTCCATCACCCCCAAAAGATTATTTTTGCCTTGTTTGCAGTCTGTCCCTCCCTCCAATGCCCCAGGCAATCCCTGATTTGCTTTTTATCACTGTAGGTTAGTTTGCATTTTCTATAATTTTGTGTAAATGAAATCATACAATATATGCTCTTTTGTGGGGAGTCTGGATTCTTTCACTCAACACAAAGATTTTGTGATTCATACATGTTGTTACATGTACCAGTAGTTAATTCCTGTATATTACTGAGTAGTATTCCACTGTGTGGATGTAACACAATTTGTTTATCCATTATTCTGTTGTAGGACATTTGGTTGTTTGCAGTTTGGGGCCATTGCGACTAAAGCAGTTATGAATGTTCGTGTACAAGTCTTTGCTTGGGACCTTTCATTATTTCTTAACTGAACTATTTCAGTTGACCTCTTCCTGGGTCTTGTTGTCTCCAACCTCTCCTGATGGCAATGCAGCCTACATATTATTTGCAGAACATACTTCTAAAGGCACGGCTCTGGTCCCATCACACCTTCAATCATGTATCATAGTCTACAAGTAAAAGTCAAAATTCTTTATTGCCAAGAACATCCACCTATCTTTCTACATCAGTCATAACCCACCCCTTATCACCTTTCCTCTGTCCATTCCAAACCCCACTGTCCTCTAGCTGTCCCTTCTACACTTTTCTACTCCTACTGCCCGTTTCTTCCAGGAGAGCCTCCTCCCATCACTGCACATCAGATGTCCTGCAGCCTTTGCAGGTGTGGAAGGACCATTTCTGTCTTGATATTCAAGTTGGGTGTCTATCCCTCCTATAATTCTCCATCACCTTTTCTGTGCCTCTCATGAACTCACAGCACTCTGCATAGAGGAAGCTCTCTGCTCTCTACTTGATGAGTAAACAAGTAAGTGCATTTATAATCCTGTGTGTAGGATGCATTCAACACAATGTGGCTTACCCCACATCATTGGGACATGAAATAAAACATATAAGTGAGGTATCCAGGGAGCTTAAATGTAATAGCACTTAAAATATTAAACCATTTTATGAAAATATTTCTAAAATGAGTTAAAAATGCCTCTGCCCTCTTAACCAGATTTAACTGAACATAACTTAGATTTTTTTTTTTTGAGACAGAGTCTTGCTCTGTCGCCAGGCTGGAGTGTAGTGGCGCGATCTCAGCTCACTGCAATCTCTGCCTCCCAGGTTCAAGTAATTCCCCTGCCTCAGCCTACTGAGTATCTGGGACTATAGGTGCGTGTCGCCATGCCTGGCTAATTTTTTGTATTTTAGTAGAGACAGCGTTTCACTGTGTTGGCCAGGATGGTCTCGATCTTCTGACCTTGTGATCCACCTCCCTCGGCCTCCCAAAGTGCTGGGATTACAGGCATGAGCCACTGCACCCAGCCAATTTAGACCTTTTAAGAAGTCAGTGTGATCACTGTAATCACCCCTTAGAGGTATGTGCCATAGTACAGGGATGTCCATGGGCAGTTGTGTGTGTAGAGCTTTTACCCCTTCACTAATGACCCCATACGGCTATACGTATGTACTAGTATTTCCTTTCTCCCTTAGGCTATCATTTCTTACTGCACAGTGCCTGGTTCCTGCCTTATGTTATTCATAATTACCAATGTAATGACCTGTAGAGAGAATAGGTTTTGTTCAACTGCATAGACTGATCAAACTCTTAGATATGGATAGATATGCGATAAAGCAAGAATGGTAAAATGCTAATAGTAGAACCTTGGCCTTGGGTAAAAAAAAAAAAAAAAATCTTTCCTGTAAAACACTTTCAACTTTGCTGTATCTATACAACATTTGCAAAATAAAATGTTGGGAAACAAAGCTCCTGTGGAAAAGGATTCTGGTTATCTTCCATCTCTCTCCTCCTGAAAGAGGAGAAAGAGGAGAAATTGTTGTAGCTGTCTCGTGACAGTGATGGCTGTTTTGTCACACTCAGGACCCAAGGAACAGGAAGGCAGAGGATCTGGGTCCCTGGTGCACTCCTCAAACAGCTACACCAGTAATTCCCTTTGCAAGCTCTTGCTGCAGGAGGCAAACAAATCCTCAACTGTCGGAGACAGGGTGGCCTGGATTTTCTAACTGATAAACTTGAATACTCTAGAAAAACAAATACTTGCTCGAAAAGTTTTGAATTCAGACAGGTGGCTCACAGAGAGAGAGAGCTCCAAAACACTTTTCTTTCCCCAGCGCCTTTTGCAATACACTTGTTGAAATTTCTTCTCTGTGGCACAGCATCTCATTAGATAGACATGGAAAGTGGTGGCCCAATTTTGAAGGGAGGATCTGATGAACTCTTGAGCAGAGGACAGCAGCGCTCAGCAGGCTGTGGGGTCGGAGATCCCCTGATTCCATTTTGGAAAAGCACCCCAGCCAAGCAGTTCAGAAGTTGTTACCATGCACAAGGACGTCATGTTGGGCTCTGCACAGCCTCAAGCAGGGGACCAAGGCAAAAGAGAGTGCAAAATCGAAGCTGTGATCCCTGGTCAAAGACTGGCCTGGAGAGCTGGGAATGTCCTGAACAGGTGCTAATGCGAAATGACTTAGTGTCCCTGGTGGGGGTCCTGATTTACTAGCAACATGCACTCATGGCTAACTTTTAAAAAGTGAAGTCCCAAACTGTAATCTAATCGCAGAGCTCCTTCTCCTCTTGTTAAGAAACAAATTACATTAAGAGTTCTATTTTGATCACAGAGTGATTTTTAAAATACATATTTATTAGGATTGTAGCATATTTGCTAGAAATGGCTCAGCAAAGCATTTCCTTTCCCTTCCCATGCTGGGCCGGTATTTTCCACCTGCCTTCACTTCAATTCTGTGTCTCTTGAAGCTGGTTTCCCCCTAAGGAAAGGGGTCTCACTGCCTTTGTTTACACACGGATATGGCTTCCTGCAACAGCAGCTGTGGGAGGCTAATTCTCCAACCTTGGAATGTCGGGAGGTGTGCGTAGGGCTGTTCCTCTTTCCCCCCAAGACAAAAGCTCTTTACAAAGGATGCTTCCTGTTAAAGAGTGGGAATAGGATCTCAAGATTGCAAAGGTTTCTAGAACCTGGTCAGAGCTGACTCTGCTCAGTGCCTGTTGTTACAGCAAGGGCATGTACTTTCCCCCACTCAGGCCTGAAAGCTGTGTGTACCTCTGACTTCATGGTGTTTGCTTGCCTGTGACCCAGAAGATAGCATCACATCATGGACCTGAAACCCCAGAAAGTGCAGCTTGGTGCAGAGAAGACTGTGCAGGTATCTGCAGGTGACCCTGATTCTCACTGGGGCTCCCTGGGCTGATGCCAAGGCTGTGGCCCACTTTAGAATGGCTCTGTCCTCTGGCCTCAAAGTTCTTGGATACACTTCCTGGGACACTACGTCGAATGGGTTAGGAGAACCAGATCCCCTCTGGATAGGGGACGAAGGCATTTGAGGAACAACAACAGCTTTCTGGGTCAAGAGTCTGCACACCAGCCTTGGAGAGAGCAGCCCCGGCCTCCAGACCGTAAGGGCCACCCCTATGGGTTAGGATGATCCAGGGTGTGAGTCTCCCTTGGGAAAGGCTTCCTTCCCAGAGACGTTTTCCTAGTTTATTCTATACTTAGACGTTTGATATGGTTTGGCTTTGTGTCCCCACCCGAATCTCATCTTGAATTATAATCTTCAGGTATTGAGGGTGGATCCTGGTGAGAAGTGATTGGATCATGGGGGCGGGTTCCTCCATTCTGTTCTCATGGTAAGTGAGTTCTTATGAGATTTGATGGTTTCACAAGTATTTGGCAAGTTCCTCCTACACTCACTCTTCCCTCTCCTATTGCCATGTGAAGAAAGTTCTTGCTTCCCCTTTGCCTTTTGCCATGATTGTAGGTTTCCTGAGGCCTCCCCAGCCGTGCAGAACTGTGAGTCAATTAAACCTCTTTCCTTCATAAATTACCCAGTTTTGGGAAGCTCTTTATAGCAGTGTGAAAACGGACTAATACAATGCCCAACTCACTGCCTTCAGCCCAGCTCTCACTCTTCTGAGCTCAGACCCTGTTATCCAATTGCCTGCTGAACATCTCTTTACTCTCCTTCTTAATGAGAGGTCCAGGAATTACAGGATTTAGCTAACTCCTACTCAACCTCTAGGCCTTACATTAGATGTCCCTTCCCCCAGGAAGCCTTCCCTGACTCTCTCTATCCTGACAGGGTGCCCCCCTCCTATGCACCACGTGGGTTTGTACCTCCTCTATCACAAACCTTAGCATATGCTGCTGTGAGTCCTTGCACTGTGTCTCCTCCACCAGGCTGCAAGCTCCGTGAGGGCAGGACCGCACCTCTGTTTTGTTCATGGCTGTGTCTCCAGCACCTGGTTAGAGGCAAGGTGCCAAGGCAGTGCTCTGTAAAGGTGTGTCCAAAGTGAAACTGAAGGAATTACTACACCATCCAAGTCTGCACACAAGTGAGTTTGAAGTGTGACTGTTAATGGTAGTGCTTCACTCACAGGCTGGCTTCAAAGCCACTTCCAAAAGAGAAACTTGTAAGATGGTTGAGCCACAAAAATGGAATAAACCTCCCAAGCTAATTGGGTCTCTGAGTGGGATTGTGCTCCTTTGAATAAATATGCTTTAATACGATCGTTTAAAAACAAAAACAAAGGGGTCTTGTTGAATTAGCCAAACCTCACACAACGACAACTCACAAAACACCAGGGTGGCTTTTTTCCCTGCGGTTTCATTCTGCATTTTTTTTTCTGTAGTTGCCTCTTCCTGCTTTATCCAAAAGCCAGAGAAATAAAGAGGTATGTGACAGATTTGCCGTTGAGCAACTCTTTGCTTTTATCAATCCTGAGGTGTTTCCCCGCGCCCCCCCCCCCAGAAAAAACAAGGGAAGGAAAACAAACTTGGGATTGAATCACAAAGTATTCATTCTGGGTGCCACATATATGAAAAAACAAAGGTGACTGGGTGGGGATAGAGAAACCTGAACAAATGTCTGCTGAATACCTACTATGTGCAAGGCAGTGTAAGCACCTACCATGTGCTGTTCCAGACTTTTTTTTTTTTTTCTTTTTTGAGACAGAGTCTCACTCTGTCACCCAGGCTGGAGTGCAATGGCACGATCTTGACTCAGTGCAACTTCTGCCTCCTGGTTGAGGTGATTCTCCTGCCTCAGCCTCCTGAGTAGCTGGGATTACAGGCATGTGCCACCATGCCCAGCTAATTTTGTATTTTTAGTAGAGACAGGGTTTCACGATGTTGGCCAGGGTGGTTTTGAACTCCTGACCTCAGGTGATCTACCCGCCTCAGCCTCCTGAAGTGCTGGAATTACAGGCATGAGCCACGCGACCGGCCTAGACATTTAAAGTATCTAATTCCTTTAGTGTTTGCAGTACGTCTGTGAGGTGGGTATTTTTATCCTGTTTTACAGACAGGTGAGCTGCCAGGGAGAAGGGGAGCAACAGAGGTTAAGTTACAGAATAGCACATGGTTGGGGGCTGGGGTGTTAGGATCAGACCACAGACTCTTCAGATTCCAAGGTCATGCTTTCTCCACCACATTGCAGAAATTTTCAACCCTGATGACTGAAGCCGACTGGAGGTCTGCAAATTCGAGTTTGAACACCCAAGATTCGATGTAAAACAAGCAAGCTTGATTGGTGGCCAGAAAACACTGTCAAAGAAAGGGTTTTCTTCCTGTCGCCCCCCTTGTATGATTTATGTGAATTTTGTTGCCTGTCACATTGGGGTTAAAACAGCCTCTAGCTATTCAGATCAAGGATGTGGTGCCAAGTCACCCACTGCATATGGTTAAGCATTTGGGAATCAGGGATTCCTTTAAGAATCTAAAAAAAAAAAAAAAAGGTATGGTCCCTCTTTAAAAATAAAATGCACAAAAACTTATATACAATTTAAGGAAGACCAGAAAGCCTTGGAGTTTGGGGAGGGTTATTCCCAAAACTCTAGGTCCCAGAACTGGATGCTAGACTCTTCAGTGACAGTCTTGCTCTGTGTGTGTGTGTGTGTGTGTGTGTGTGTGTGTGTTGGTGTGTGCGGTGTGTGGTGTGTGTGTGGTGGTGTGTGCGGTGTGTGGTATGTGTGTGGTGTGTTTGGGGTGTGGTGTACAGTGTCTCTGCTATGTGTGTGGTGTGGTGTGTGTATGTGTGGTGTACAGTGTGTGTGGTATGTGTGTGCGGTGTGTGTGGTGTATGGTGTGTGTATGTGGTGTATATGGTATGTATATGTGTGGTGTACAGTGTGTGGTATGTGTGGAGTGTGTGTGGTGTGGTTGTGTGTGGTGCACAATGTGTGTGGTGTGTGTGATATGTGGTATGTGTGGGGGGTGGTTGTGTGTGCGGTGTACAGTGTGTATGTGGTGTGTGTGTGCATGGTGTGTGTAGTGTGTGTGGTGTGTGCATGTGGTGTGTGTGTGCAGTGTGTGTGTAGTGTGTGTGCGCAGTGTATATGTGGTGTGTGGGTGCGGTATTTGGCGTGTGGTGTGTGTGGTGTGTGTGTGATGTATGTAGTGTGTGGTGTGTGTGGTGTGTGTTTGGTGTGTGGGTTCAGTGTGTGTGGTGTGTGTGTGGTGTGTGTGTGCAGTGTGTGTGTGTGGTGGGTGCAGTGTGTGTGTGTAATTACAGTAAATACTCATTTAACATCATCAATAGATTCTTGAAAATGAAAACTTCAAGTGAAACAACATATAACAAAACCAATTTTTTCCTGGTCAACATTACAATAAAAAGAAGAAACGATGTTATCTGAAGATCTACTGCACATAGTTTTCCTTAAAGTTGCAGTTTCCAACAGCCTATTGACAATGTGAAGCGAGGACTTACTGTGTACATATAGTGGAGCACAAGGCAGAGATAAGTAGAAAATAAAAGTTAACCATATTCTTCCAGAATCTATTCTATAGCTAGAAATGAGCACTAGGCTTAGAGCTATTTGCATGTGTCTCCTCTGGTACTGCAGCCTCCTTGCAGACTAGCCCTTCCCCGCCTGCAGCATTTGGCTTAGGGCCTCCCAACTTGCAGGTGCTTTGGGTAGGTATTTGTTGATGAATTAACTATTATTTTTGCAATTATTCAACCGCTTACCCAGCTTTATATCTAACCAATAGCAGATTATTTTGCATGAGCAAAGATTACCTTGCAATGCCATGTCCTGGATTCTGGTCCCTGTGCTGCTGCTAAGCAGACGGTGGCACCTTGGTCAAGTCACTCCTGCTCGCTGGGCCTCATTCATTCATTTTGACTGTGCCCTTGCTATGCACCAGAGGCTGAGCCGGGAAGTCACTGGGGTTACAAGATGGATGATTCCAGGTCTCCAAGGTCAAGAAGATCTGTCTTGTAGGAAGCCTTGAAAATAAACAAGTAAGGGTGATATTTTAATTGTTTCACAACCATCAAGGCCAAGGCACCAACCCCTCAGCACCCTCATCCTGGGGCCTCGCAGCCTGGTAGAGCCCTGCAAAGGAGCACAGTCAGTACCAAAAGACCATTGCCACAGTGCAGGTGTGATGCAGGTTCAGTAACAGCAGGACAAGAAGCCTCAATGTTCTCAGTTGCCAAATCTGTAAAATGGGAGGTTAGATCAGAGCAGAGTTTAGTCAATTATAGCCCTGCCAGTGGATCAAATTTGACCTGCCAGTTATTTTTGTAAACAAAGTTTTATTGAGCACAGCCACGCTCATTTGTTTACATATTGTCTAGAGCTGTTTTTACACTATAACAGCAAGAGTTGAGTCACTGCAACAGAGATTGTATGGCCCACAAAGCCTAACATTTTTACTCTCTTGCCCTTTACAGAAAGGCTTGCCGACTTTTGACTAGATAATCTCTCGTTTTCTTTTCATCACAATACCTCCATGACTTTCTAAGCAGGTAAAACACACTGTTTGCATTAAATGTGGTTTTCTTTAAAGAAAGTCTTTGTGTTCCAACCAAACAGTGAGTGGCATTTTCTGACACAACGGGGACTGGAGACCAAGCCCTTGGAATACAGAATGGAGGCTGGGCTCTGTCCCTTGAGGAGACTTTTTTTTTTGTTGTTTGTTTAGACGGAGTCTCGCTCTGTCGCCTGGGCTGGAGTGCAGTGGCGCGATCTCGGCTCACTGCAAGCTCCGCCTCCCGGGTTCACGTCATTCTTCTGCCTCAGCCTCCTGAGTAGCTGGGACTACAGGCGCCCGCCACCACGCCCGGCTAATTTTTTGTATTTTTAGTAGAGATGGGGTTTCACCGTGTTAGCCAGGATGGTCTAGATCTCCTGACCTCGTGATCCACCCGCCTCGGCCTCCCAAAGTGCTGCCATCACAAGCATGAACCACCGCACCCAGCGAGACTATTTTTTATTCTGTGCAAAAATTTCTGCTCATTGCCTTGATGAGCCCATTAGGGAGTTGTTTATGAGTACCCGTTGGTGAGCAGATACTTGCACTAAAATGGACACTTCCAGAGAGTCACAGTTGACAAACACACTCAGCTGTGTAAAAGCTGATCCACATGCAAACTGAGGGGTCCACTTGGCTTGTTAGGCTAGCTCAGAAATCATTCATTCTGTTATGGGTTTTCTTTGCAAGACTCCAGAAGAAAGCAAGAATCAGTAGATTGGAACTGGGCTTACCCCCAGGAAAGCCTGAGAGGAGCAGGCTCTGAGCGGTTCCTGGGAGGATCAGTGAAGCCTGGAGCAAGTAGAAAAACAAGCAATGCTAGCCTGAACTGCATTTCACTCCGGTCTTGTACCCTTCCTTCTCTTGGAGAATCCCTTCTCAGTCTTTTCTCTTGACCCATTGAAGGTAGACTCCAAGTCACTAGATCTCTTATTTATCTTGGAACCACTGTGGGTGATTGCATTATTGTCCTTAACTTCTTACCCTATCCTGTATGCATCCTCTCCTAGTGGCTCCATAGCTCTCACAGTATCTCCATGGGCAGAATGGCAGAATGGAGTTTCATGCTTCTTGAATTTGGGCTTGGCCATGTGACTTGTTTTGGATAATGATATATGGGTGGAAGTGACAGTATGCCACTCTGAGCCTAGACTCATGTTTTTGCTTGTTATTTGGTACCTCTATCATCACTATAATATGATAAACATGACCAGGTCAGTGCACTGGTCAATGAAGGATGAAGCCTGTATGATGTAGGGTTGCCACCACCCAACCATCAGAGCTGCAGTGGGAAACAGCTGCCAAGATACCTGAAGCAGGGCCCTCAGCTGAGCCAAGCTTTCATCAGCCAAATCCCAGTAGACCCAAGATATGAGCAATAATAAGTCATTGATATCTTAAGCCACTGAGATCTGGGTGATTTGTTACACAGCAAAGCTAACTGATACCAACCTCCCGCAAGCTCTGGAAAAAATGGTTTATCACAAAGCAAGGTAACTATTACATGAAGGGGCCAGGGAAAGTCTACCAATGGATTACCAATGGCATGGATTGGCATGGATTTACCATGGTCTAGGAAAACACTAGACATGGATAGAGTCCTTTTTGTTCATGGATAAAGAAGGAGAATAAGGAGGTGGAAGGGAGAAGAAAAGAGAAAAGAGAGGAAGGAAGTGAAGGAGAGAAAGAGGGAGAATATGGAGCAATTGATTGAGTAAAAAGAAGAAAAGATGGGCCTGTAGCTTAAGAGAAGAACACAACTAAAGACGCAGAAAAAAATCAATATTTTGAAAAACATTTATCTAAGGAAACAAAAGTTTTTGGATAGCTTCTGCTTTATACTTTCAATAAAATTTAAGAGAATATGGACTTACAAAATTAAGAAATTAAATGTAAGATAAAACAACAGTGTTCACAGTATGACCCATGTTACATTTTGAAAACACTTCCCTTTCTCTCTTATCTCCAAGCAGAATCGATCACTCCTGTCCCTCTACCCCCAAAGCACTTGTGCCCCCTGCTCAAGTCAGTCAAGTGCTACCTGCTGTGTTCCATTATGGTGGGTGAGTTCCTGGGATGTTGTGACCTCTTTGAAGGAAGGCCCGTACCTGGTGAAATTCCTTCTCTGATCTGCCATGACAAGAGAGACTGGGCACCCAGAAGAAACACACTGAAAGACCCTTTTTAGTACTAAAATGACACCCAGAAACAGGAAGCTCCTATCACCAGCATAGAGAAAATGTAGAGTGGAGATAGTGATACAGCACAGCTTTGGTCTTTGCTCTATCCTGAGTGATGTTGTTGAGAGCTGCTGAGCCGGAGACAAGAGCACCTGGCCACAGGCACAAGGCAATGATTCCTCTCTTGGTGCTATCAGTCATCACCTATCCAACAATCGGTCACACCCACCCTCCCTGGGGAGGGAGGGAGAGCTTTCCCAAGCCTATGGAGAGTACAAAGAGAAGCAGGGCTTCTTTGACATTGAGAGGTTTATTGTTCCAGTCCAACACTTAGAATGTCTCCTGTTTTCTCTGAGTGAAGTTTCCCTGGGTGGCCTTGGGGAGTCCTCATCATGGCTGGTTTCTCACATGGATATTTAGATGAAGATTTTGGAGTGGCTGCAAAATGGCAGTAAGATTCAGCAGGAGGATGTGCCAGGGGGTCTCAGCTGCAGAAAGAGCCATGTTCCAAAGTTAGGAGCAGGGCAAGGAGGGAGGCACAAGAAAAGCAGCCAGCATTTGCTTACCTTCTTAATGTGTCTCCTGGTCTGGCTGCTGATGTTTCAATTGCACATTAATGAGTCACTTTTTTCATATCCTCCTGCATGGTTCTAACCACTAGTAAGTAAACATACAGCCTTTGAATAGTTGTTGAAAAATTTGGAGCATGTGCCACTTTTGGAGAATGTGATCAGGCTAAGATGCCTTTCTCATGATCAGTCCCATCCCTCTGCCCTCATCCCTGATTATGCTA